TTTTTTTTTTTCAACGTTTATTTATTTTTGGGACAGAGAGAGACAGAGCATGAACGGGGGAGGGGCAGAGAGAGAGGGAGACACAGAATCGGAAACAGGCTCCAGGCTCCGAGCCATCAGCCCAGAGCCTGACACGGGGCTCGAACTCACGGACCGCGAGATCGTGACCTGGCTGAAGTCGGACGCTTAACCGACTGCGCCACCCAGGTGCCCCTCACCGGGCCAGCCTTGCTGATGCGTGGGTTACTCTCCCTTAAGGCAAGAACCCAGGTTCCGGATTCCCTAGCTTTCTTGCTGCAGACCTAACCAGGCCTGGCACTTGTTGGGCAGATGGCTCCCCTGAGCTGCATGTACCCTCCTCCTTCAAAAAGCAAAACCCAGAACAGCCGTGTTTTATCAGAAAGCCCTGCTTCGGGTAGGCCATTTTCACAGACTTGTACTTTGATTCCCAGTCTGTGGTTGGTTCAGCTCCTGTGAGAACTCCAGGGGGTTGGGGGTAGGGGTAGTTGGCAGGGCGGGATTTGGGCACTCGTGTCCGCGGAAAATCACCACATACTCACCCTTCCTCTCTCGTGTGCTCTGCGCAGAGGCTGGGCTCTCCCTTCAGGCCTGAGTCACCTGTCAAGGTGTGTGTGAGAGCCAGGGGGAGGAGCGGGATCTGGGGCCCGGTGGGTGGTGATGCTGTGGCCACAGGAGGAAACCTGGGAGTAGAGGTCTGCCTGGAGGATATGTGTGCAGAGGGCGGGAGATGACGTAGTGTCGTTTCCTGTGCACCTGCTGTGCCGGGTGCCCATCGCACATTCTCTCGTTTAACCCTCCGGGGACCCTAGGAGCCTGTACCGTTATCCCCATTTACTGGAAAGGAAACACTCAAAGATTTTTGTTATCTATCTGTGGTCACATGGCTAGTTAGCGGTAGAGACCGGATTCGAGTCTACTTCTGCCTATCTTCACAGCCTGGGGATATTGAAAGAGGTTTGGGGAAACCACCCAAGATTATCAATTTTCGGTTCTGATTGTTTTGCTCAGGCGAGACATGCCGTCTCCATGCCTCCCCTAAACATTTATTATAACTCCACTGGTGCCGAGCACAGGAGCCTGTCGGCGCCTCTGTGTTGCCATGGCAGCTGCTCCTCGTCAAGGCCACCTCAGCACACACGTGCCCCCCTCCCTGCAGTGGGCCTTTTACTTCAAGCCTTCTCTGACTGCTCTTCGCGTGAGGTCCAGGGTCCTTGGTCCTGCCCTATTCATTAGCAGGAGGGCGTAGCTTTCAGGCTGGATGTTTTGTCAATCTCGAGTCCTTGAGAAACTGTGACATTAGCTTGGGGCGTTGGAATTATTGACCAGTGGCAGCCGGTGTCCCAGAGTGGTTTTCTATTTCTTTGGTCTTAACAGAGGTGCGGTTGGGTGAGAGAGAGCACAGAATTTGGGGTCTGACCGACCTGGGTTTGAATTTCAGCACTAGAACTTACTCGTTGTAAAGCTCTGTAAACAACTTTCAGCCTCCGTGAGCCTTGGTTTCCTTTCTATAAACACAGGACTCAATACTTACCATGTATGCAGTCATCAGGGCTCAGGATGTTTTATGTCCAAGGGCCTTGGCACATGCTTGGCTCAAGGCGGGTGCGGGGTAAATAGTAGTTTCTATTACAAATGGTTATAATAAGAGAAATGCTTTATCCTGTTTGGTGTCCTGACTTTCCCTGAGACTCTGATTTACGCTGAAGGCCTTCTACCACCAAAAATACACACACACACACACACACACACACACACACACACACACACACACACACATTTGCATAGGCTCCCGGGGACCCATTCAGTGGACCTCAGATTAAGCACCTGTAATCTTGAGGAATGACCCAGTTACATGTCCTTTGTGGGATTTTGGAACAGGTCATTTTCATGTGGTCAACTCTGTTAGTTTGGGGAACATGTGGAAGAAATGTGGCATATTGGTCACCTTTCTCACTTAAAACATGCAAGTTCTTAATCTAGGTACCCGCATTAAAATTGTATAAGCAAATGAAATGGGAGAGCGGAGTAAATTGCTGTACATGCACATAGAGACTAGAACTTGAACCAGACATTAAAATAATGCGTCTGATGGGTGTTTATGTGACGGAGAGAACGGAATCAAGGAAATGATGTAAGTGGACCAGTAATTACTATGCATGCAAACGGTGTACACTTTTGACTTAGCATATGATGCAGAAGTATTTTAAGATTAAAAAGGAGGGGCGCCTGGGTGGCGCAGTCGGTTAAGCGTCCGACTTCAGCCAGGTCACGATCTCGCGGTCCGTGAGTTCGAGCCCCGCGTCAGGCTCTGGGCTGATGGCTCGGAGCCTGGAGCCTGTTTCCGATTCTGTGTCTCCCTCTCTCTCTGCCCCTCCCCCGTTCATGCTCTGTTTCTCTCTGTCCCAAAAATAAATAAACGTTGAAAAAAAAGATTAAAAAGGAGGCATGATCTTTTCAGGATGACCTTTCCAAGATGGCGGGCAAACTTATTGTGAATTTAAAGATGTACCTTTTGGCTTAACACAAGATTTTATGGTCCCTATGATCCAGTTTTTAGGAGGAGGTTTCTTTTTTTCTTTTTTTTTTCTTTTTTAGCGTTTATTGATTTTTGAGACAGAGAGAGAGCATGAACGGGGGAGGGTCAGAGAGAGAGGGAGACACAGAATCTGAAACAGGCTGCAGGCTCTGAGCCGTCAGCACAGAGCCTGATGTGGGGCTTGAACCCACGAACTGCGAGATCATGACCTGAGCCGAAGTCGGACGCTTAACCGACTGAGCCACCCAGGCGCCCCTAGGAGGAGGTTTCTACGAGCAAGTGTCAGATGACTGTAGGTGGATGGGGATCATTTCAAAAGAAATCCAGACCCTGGTCATAGTGTGGAAGTGAGCTTGAGAGGCTGGGTCATCAGGCGGGTGCTGTCCCTTAGTGACCATGATTGTGGGTAAATAACTTTACCTGAGCCTGTTTCCCCATTCATAAAATGGGGAGCAATCCCATCTACCCGATCGTCCGTCTGTCGATCCATCCATCCGTCCGTCCTCCCAGCAGATATTTATTGAGTGCTATTCTGGTTGTTTACTGCATTTGCCATTCCTAGGTGTTGCTGCTGATGTTGTTCTAGGGGCTGTGTTCTGAGCACCCTGGTTCTTTTTGGTGGGAAATGGTATTTAAAGACTACAGTCTGGATGCCGGGGAGGATGCTGATTTTAGGCTTTTGCAGTGAAAGGAAGGAAATCGCAGAAAGTTGAAGTTCATCTTGATAGTTGGAATTCATATTTATAAAGACATGTTTGTACTTATTTTTGTATTTGTATTGGTTTTCACTTAGGCTTGTAGTCTTGGTTCTCATCACATTAATAATTACTTATTTAATAAGTGTATATATACATGCACAGTTTCAGAATAACAATACAAATATTGCTTCCAGCACGATTACTCAAACAGTGTAAGATTTTCTGCAGTGGTTCCTTGTGTCCTTGGAGAAGTACCCCACTTAGGGGCATATAAATTACTCTGCTTTTAAGTTGCTGAAATAACTCCTCCCTGTTTGGGTAACCAATCAACTTGATATACAGTTCGATTTATCTGTTTGTTTGTTTGCTGTGCTTCTGGTTTTAGGAGATTTTTATGTTGTTTTTCAAATAGTTACCTAAACATTTAAACGGCTTCGAGTGTCACGTCTGTAAAATGATTTCTTCTCCCTCCTTCTACCATGTTCTCTTTTATTTCCCTAAAGGCAACCATCTAATTTATTTTATAGTTAAATACATGACAGTATGCTATACATTCTTTTTTTTTTTTCCTCCTGGGGTCCTCCTGAACCCCACCTGAGCAGTACATTCTGAAGATTACTGTAGGGCAGCGTATTGATAGAGTCCTCCTTCTTTTTTCTTTATCGGTTCTGAGTGCTCCATTGTGAGAATGTCCCATAGTTTATTCCTTTACTGGTGGATATTTGGGTGTTTCCAGCTTTTCGCTATTATGAATAGTACTTCAGTATTACAAACAGTGTATATCCTGAGGTAGTTATAATCACGCTGTTTACTGTTGGTTTTGTGGTTTTCTCCCTGACATTATAACACGAACATTTTCCATGTTACTTGTGAATGTCATTATTGAAGATAATTTTTTTTTTTCCTGATCAGGAAAGTAATATAGACTTATTTAGAGATTTTAGAAACTCAGAAAAATAAGAATCAGTTGAAAGTCACCCACATTCCCACTGTTTAGGTATACTATTTTGACGTGTTTCCTCATGGGCTTAATATTTTGTGTAAGCATTTAGAAAACAATCAGCATCATATTATATAGTATCCTGGTTTGGTGTTCCTCAGAATTGTGTGCTTTTTTTTTTTTTTTTAATACCATACTGTTTATAATTAATTCCCTATTGTTGGATATTTAATTTCTTTCTGGTTTTCGGTATTATAAATAACGTTGTGATGAATGTGCATAAAGCTTTTTCCAAATTTCAGCTTATTCCTTTTTTTTTTTTTTTTTTTTAATACCATACTGTTTATAATTAATTCCCTATTGTTGGATATTTAATTTCTTTCTGGTTTTCGGTATTATAAATAACGTTGTGATGAATGTGCATAAAGCTTTTTCCAAATTTCAGCTTATTCCTTTTTTTTTTTTTTTTAAGTTTATTACTTTTGAGAGAGAGAGAGCGCAAGTCGGGGAGAGGCGCAGAGAGAGAGGGAAAGTGAGAGAATCCCAAGCAGGCCTGGTATGGGGCTTGAACCCACGAACTGTGCAATCATGACCTGAGCCGAAGTCGGACGCTTAACCGACTGAGCCCCCCCAGGCGCCCCCTCAGCTTATTTTTGAAGCTGGTTTTCACGAGACCTTCTGTGAGAAGGAAGCGCATGTTTGTTAAACACATCTGTTCGCTTGCTCTTCTATAGCGGAAACAGGGGAGGGAGTGTCCCCTTGAAATCTGTGAAATAAATTCTGTTTTTTCTTTTCCTTTTGGTAGGACCTTAGGAATGAAGTTGAGAAATTACGCGATGAAGTGAATGAGAGAGAGAAGGCCGTGGAGAATCGTTACAAGAGTCTTTTGAGTGAAAGCAATAAAAAATTGCACAGTCAAGAGCAGATGATCAGAAGTCTAACAGGAAGTATGAATCCAAAGGACTTGTTGCTTCGGGTACCAAAGCTTCTTTTTCTTTTGTGTTTAAATCTGTTGACTTGCCATAGGTCGTTTTGTTGAAAAACTCTTTTGCAGAAATGGGTATATAAAAATAAGGCTGGCAAAAATGATTATAGCCTTCGCTGCTGTGTGTCAGAACACATCAGAGCTTTCTTTATGTCCTTTGGACGCCAGCCACCAGCAAGAAGGGAAGGGACTGATTCTGGGTCGTACGACTGGTCAGCGGCAGAGCGCGATTGAGGCCCTGGGCTGTTTCGCTCCAGAGGCCGGCCCGCTTCACCGAGGTCCTTCCGCTGTGAGTGCCTGCTGCTCCTGACGTGCACCATGGCCTCTGACTCTGTGCTTTTCCTCTAACTGTCCCTTTTTGTCGTGGAGTACCCCTCTTTGATCGTATAGTGAAGTTTTGATTTAGTGCAGGCGTACAGGTAAGCCAAGCTGGACTCACCATGGGCATTTAACTCTGCCTCCAACTGGAGCCTTGTTAAGATGACAGTGAAGGGATGAAAGGTACAAGCCCACAGGACTGAGAGCCTTTGGGTGATTTTATTACTTTCACTCAAAAGTGAAGTAAGTGCCAATAAGAAGCAAGCTGGTTTACCCTCCAGGACCCAGAGAGGCGCAGCAGGCAGATGAGGGTCCTGGTCCCTTTGTACCCAGGAGATTTGGCTGGAATGCTGGGCAGTTCGGTGACCGCGTCCTCTTCACCGTCTCTCTGCTGAACCTAAACCAGAGAAGCTCTGGCCTGGGGGTCACCAGATACGGCTGAAGGCAGGAGTGGGTCTCTTGGATGCAAACGAGGAGGGAGTGGAAGAGTCCTTGAGGGGAGAAAAGACAGTCGGGCGTCTTCCAGCAGGACAAGCAAGTCCCCACTTGGTCCTCTCACAATGAGCCTGCACTGCCCTGCCCTTTCCACACTCAGAGCCTCTGAGCACTTTTACCTTTAAAGGTAGCTGGACGGCCTGAGTTCCCCAAACAGGAGAAAAGTGTCTAAGAGGAAAGACAGACAGACAGCACAAAGCTATGTGGAGGCAGTAGAAACCGGAGGATGTGAAGCAGACCAGACAGCTCTCCAAAGGCTCTATACTATAACTTCTTTAGATGGGAGCCAAGATCAGGATCTGAAAAATAAAAGATACTTGGAAAAGAAGAATGAGCTGTTGGAAATTGCAAGTGTGATTACAGATATAAAAAGTTTCATAGGAGAGTTAGAAACACTGGAAGATAAAGTTGAGTGAGTTTTCCAGAAAATGGAATCCAACAAAGAAACAAACAGGGGTGAGAAAATGAGAGGGAAGCAATAAGAGCTGTAGAAGCCTGACTCAGGAGCTCCAATCTCTGGCCAACAGGAGGTCCCGAAAGATGGGACAAGGCAGAGCAGAGGAGGGAAAACCTGAGTATTAGGAGAGCTTCTGGAGTGGAAGGACAGACACCTGTGCCTCAACAGGGTCTGCCGCGTTTCTCACACAATGAGTCGTGAGTGACCCACACTGCCAAGGTACGTCCTTGTGAAATAGTAGCACGTGGGGATAAAGAGAGGCTCTGAGAGGCTTCTGGAGCAAGATGCAAAGGACCCAGACTCGGAATAACATCAGAGGTCTCAGCAGCAACACCGGAGGCCAGAAGGCAGGAGAACAGCACTTTCAGATTGTGGGGGAAGAGTGACGTCCAGCCCAGCATTCTGTACTCCGCTGAGCTGGCAGCGAGAGCGGGGCAGACAAAGGCGTTTGCTGGCATTCGGTGCCTAAAATCCTATGCCTCCAGGGTACCCCCTTGCAGGGAACTCCTGAACAGTGATCCTATCCATACAAATGAGAAGCTAACTGAACAGGACAGAGACGTGGGATCCAGCAAGTAGGGGATTTTCCTAGGTTGTGGTGACCAGAAGTGCCAGGGTGCAGAGAGCTTGTATTTGAGTGCTTTCAAGAGAGGGCCTCCACGCTGGGCTTTCTCCAAGAAACAGAAACGGAGCCCTTCCCTTACCTGGTGTGTCTGGCTCCATCTAGAGACATTTGAAAGTTATTTTAGAGAGTTTAGAGATAAATTTACAGGGGCGCCTGGGTGGCTCAGTCGGTTAAGCGTCCGACTTCGGCTCAGGTCATGATCTCGCGGTCCGTGAGTTCGAGCCCCGCGTCGGGCTCTGTGCTGACAGCTCAGGGCCTGGAGCCTGTTTCAGATTCTGTGTCTACCTCTCTCTCTGGCTCTCCCCCATTCATGCTCTGTCTCTCTCTGTCTCAAAAATAAAATAAACGTTAAAAATTAAAAAAAAAAAGAGATGAATTTACATTAAGTACCTAATTTAGTTTCATGAACTAAGTGGACAAATAGAGCAAAGCACTTGTTACTGATTCCAAGGAAAGCAGAGAAACAAGCACGAAAGGAGATGTGCTCACGGGAGGGCCACGTGGGTGAGTCGTGGACAGTATTTGTGTGGTCGTGATGCTGTGAATGCGGACTGTCATTTGAATTGAAATTGTAACTATCAGGAAAAGTGCTGAGGTGGGGAGGCAGATGATGTAAGAACCAAACCCCTGAACTTGCGCCGTAGGAGCCGAGACCCATGTTACTTTCACAAGTCAGGCCGTGGGAGAGTAGGAATGTAATATAAATAGCGGAAGAAGCCGAGGGGCTGGAAGCTGTGTTTTCCTGGGAGTGGGGCCCGGAGGTGAGGAGGAAGAGGTGGGGGCTGACGTTCTCCCTGTAAGCCGTGCTGTGCTGTTTGATTGTTACACAGCGTATATGTATAATTGGACTTTTAAAAAAGGAAAATGAAAAGCGTTACGTCAAGCGCAGCTGTATTATAGCAAGTCTAGAAATTCAGTATTGGTTATTTGGTTTCTAATTTTTCCTGGGACAGTTAAAGAGGTTTTTATAAGAAAAAGTGTCTCTGTTTTTTTCATGTTTGTGCTGATCTCCTTTCTCATAAAAGCTTGACATGATGAAGTAAGTCTGATAGGTTCTTAGGAATGAGAGGTGGTTCTCGTCCTTAATTTCTGACCCAGAGTGGACAGACCCCTAGCTAAGGAGTTTCTAGGTTTTAAACACTTAGAGATAGAGTCCATGCTTGAACTTGGCCACGAGATCAGAGAAACGGTGTCTAGTCCTGTTGTGTTGTTGAATGCCAGATCTTCTGAAGGGGTCGATGAGGGGGACTGTATTGTGCGTCATCACGAGGACCCTTTCATCTGTGACCACACCTCAGAACACTGTTTGCAGTTTTTCTTCCCGAAGTCCAGTTTCCTCGCGGATATCGATGGTTCAAGTTTTGTCAAATTTGTGATGTTTCGAGAGAGACGGGATTTTGTTGGTTGCGATAAACACTTCCTCTATCATTGCAGTAACCCCGCAGGATAGGAGGCAGACCCGGAGGTCACGCCCTGGCCAAGGGGGACCCAGGATGGGAACCCCATCCCATGGGGCCAGGCCTGGGCTTGGTGCTCCACACCCGTTGGGCAGCCGTCTCGGTGGTGGGGAGAAGGGCTTTGTAACGACTGCCACCACCTTGCCTGTGCCTTGCCCGCGGGCTGCTTTTCTCCTGGGGGTGCTGGCTGCGTTACAGTTTTGTGATTGCCTAGTATTTGGGGATGATGGAAATTTTTTCGAGGAAAATAATGTGAAGAAAAAATAAAATATCTTCCCTTCAAGAGTTCTGGACAATCTGTTACGAAGATTTTTTTTTTCTTGATGAAAACTTCCTCACGATTTGTTTCCATAGAAATTCAGTGAAAAAGATTCGGAAGCAGTCCAGCAGAACCGTCATTCACAGACCGGGGAGGATCTCACGGTCAGGAGTGAAGACTCCCCGGAAAAGTGCTCTTTGTGGCGGTCACCATGCAAATGGCTCTTCTCCGAGGTAAGCTTGACCGGAGTCGGACGTCACGCGTGAATTCACGTTCTCTCCCGACACGTATGTGATACCTGCTCTCATCTAGAGCCCCTCCAGGGCCTTCTTGCCAGTAATTGAGCTTCTAACAGATACGGGGAGGGTTCTTAGTCTGTCTGCCTTACAGATTAGTATCCATTAGCTGAGCACTGGCATTTGCAACACTCAGGAAACTGGTAAATCACAGCTCGTTGAAGATGAGCCCAGGGGTTGCCTGGGTGGCTCAGTCCATTAAGCATCTGGCTCTTGATTTTAGCTCAGGTCATGATTTCACAGTCCGTGGGTTTGAGCTCCGTTTCAGGCTCTGTGCTGGCAGTGCGGAGCCTGCTTGGGTTTCTCTCTCTGTAAACCCGCTCACGTGCTCTCTCTCGAAACATGAACTGTAAAAAAAATTGAAAAAGAAAAAGAAAAAGATGAGCCTTGTATTTGCTGTCCCAGGGTTCACCTCTCAAGAACTATGTAATCTCTGTATGTAATTTCTGTGTTAAGAAAATTTTCCTGTTCAAATACACACGAAAACTGGCCCAGCAGGCCCTCCTTCCTGGTCTGGCCTCAGGTCGCTCGCCATCATCTCTAACTACAGCTGACTTCTTGCAGATTCCGGAAAATGCCGTGTTTGCGCCTCTCTCTGTGCCTTCGCACATGCTGTTCCATCTGCCTGGAGTGGCTTTTGTGTCCTTGTTTACTGGGTGACTCCTAAACATCCCTGAAGGAGCCCCTGTGGTGTCGCCTTCCCTGCCCCTGCTTAGCAGTGACGTCTCCTCTTCCTCCCTGGCGCTCAGGACTTTGCACGCCCATCCTTGTGTTGGCGTTATGGGATCCCCATAACACCCATAACCATCACCATAACACCCGAGTGGTGCCCTGCACCCAGGCCCTTACACACCACGGATGGCACCTCAGGGTAGGGGACTGGAATTCGTGTGTGAATCCTGATGCCTGGCCCAGTGCGTGGCCCAGTAAGCAAATGTCTGTTGAGTGAAGAAATGATTTGGTTCGTGTGACATACATACAGATTGCTCTGACCCCCAGCTTGCATGTGATGCAACTTGGCAGCCAGATGTGGGAAAGGAGAGGAGCTCTCTGTAGGCCAAGGTTTTGGTTTTTTTTTTTCCCTTAAACCTGGCTTTAATTAAGTTCATACATTCAGAAGACAGACAACTCTTACGCAAATTAGCTCCTTGATGAATGGCTCTGATCGTGACGTGCGGTTTTGTGAAGGGTGATTCTCACAATAATTAACAACCGGTACAGCACGGGCACACCCATCGGATCAGACTCGGGCAGTAGGGCTGGAGTACCTGCTCTGGTGCGGGTACCAACCCTGTGGTTACTGGATTCTGGAGAGGTCCCTAGGGGAGGGGCCAGGGCACCTGGGGTGGTTGGGGAGGACGAATCAGGGGTCGTTTTACGGCTGGTGTAGGAGTTGTTTGGCAGCCAGTGCTAGCTGTTGCACTGTGGATAGGCTCAGGGTCAGCCCTGGGCCGGGGGGCATCACTGACTGGACAGTGGGGGCTTTTTCTTACCTCCGACCCTTGGTGGACTGGCATTCTGCCGTTTCTCTTGGATGAGAATACCAGCATAGCGTCGAGGACCCCTTGGGCTGGGCCAGAAGCCTGGAGGCCAGGATTTTTCTCTTGGCCCTGTCACCACGTAGGTGATGCTGGGCATTTAGACGGACAGATCTTCACTGACCTGAACGCATCTCATCGAACTTTGCTATGTCGAATCCTGTTTTAGTCACGTAAACTGTGTCTAAGTGTCGAATGAAACGTTTATGGGTGTGTGGAACAGGCTGAGTGTTTTCTAGTTTAATCTCACTAGTTTGATCAGCTGTCCCACTTTTTTGTTTTCTTGGGCTGGGCGCTGTTTGTACTGCATAGAATCACAGGTGAAGCGTCATCATTTCATTTTCTGTTACATGTAGATGCTGGTGATGTTTAAATTACCACAATGCCTTAGTCTATTTTATTTTATTAAAAGATTTGTTTTAACGTTTATTAATTTTTGAGAGACAGCGAGACAGAGCGCGAGCAGGGGAGGGGCAGAGAGAGGGAGACACAGAATCCGCAGCAGGCTCCAGGCTCCGGGCTCCGAGCTGTCAGCACAGAGCTTGATGAGGGGCTCAAATCCATGAACCGTGAGATCATAACCTGAGCTGAAGTCAGACGCT